ATCTTGGAATTTCAATTTGGAATTCAATTCAAAAGCTTTGCTTGTCCTATTGCTATTCATCTTTACTCCTGTCAATACATAAGAACGATACAAATGACCAGATAAAATACTTATATTTTTAAACACCAGAGGTTAAGCATCTGGTAAAAAATGCAAATACATGGTTCGCAAAAATTATTGACAAAAATGCAAAGAATCCTTCGCTCGCACGTATAGGATGACCTAGGTTTTTGAAGCAGTGAAAAATGAATAAAAACTTTGTCTTATATGCGAGTAAATATGGTATACTGGTTCAAGTATGTTTTCCAAGCAGCTCCCAATACTGTTGCAGACATTACTTACATTCTCAAAGTCATCAGTCACCAACCACTTGGAAGAGCAAAACAAAGATGGCAAGATACAATCTGTGCAGATCTAAATTCACTCATGCACATCCAGACAATCCCAAGAATTAAAACAAATGGTGGTTAAAGATCCAAATAGCAGGCCCCACCCAAGAGGAAAAATGCTAGGATAAAGAAGATTCTGGTCTTCTTAATTTTGGTGCTTTTGGAATCCAAGTGCTAAATTCAGATTCATTTACACTTTCTGAAAATAACAATAAAATTAATGACATATATTTTAAAAAATACTATTTTATTATGTATAAAATCAAAATTATACTATTAGAGAAAAATATTTTAAATATTTATCTAATAGTATAATTTTGATTTATCATATTTTAAATACTATAAAATTACATTCACTATGAGTCTGTCAGAAGATACAACTAATTGCATTTTTATTTTTTATAGATATAATAAATATTTATGCAATGAGTTATTTCAGTTAATTCATTTTCTTGATATACCAGTTTCAGTTGCTGCAAATTGGAGACAGACTGCTTTTTATAATTCTGGATTTTAAACTTTTATTGTGCTGCTTTAAAATTAATTATTAATATCTTTCCTAAATTTGAGGCTACTTCTTTTTAATTATTAAACATCCTTACAAATTGCATTATTTTACTGCTGATATACTAAGAAAAATTAATGATGACATGAACTTGCACAAATTATATGACAATAAACATTTTTATCAACAAAAGAAATTATCCCAGTGAATTATACTTCACTGTAGATTATAGGCAGGAATTACAGTAATTAAAACTACAATTTTTCTGAAACAACTTATTATTTGAATGTTATGTTACATAAAAATCATAAAAGATACATTGATTTATTGAAAAATAATTATGAATAAGTATAGTTACTAAATATTTCAGGATAATGCATATGGAGAATAATCTTAACCATTATTAATATAATGTGAAGTTGCAAATATAAAAATGAAATAAATTTTGATATGTGCTTCTAGTCCTTAGTTCCACTTTGGACTTCCTTGTGAACAAGGACTTGTTTTACTGAGGGAAGAGAATTATATAATTTCAAATTAAAATATTTTTAATGTAACATAATCCTGTATGCCACTACATTTTAGCATTTCAGGCTAAAGCCCCTCCTCAGCAGACATTACATTTTCTAATTACAATTTAAAATATTATACATTAATTTATACAAAATTTTTAAAATATATATTTACGAGTTTATATTTTAACATATCCATATATTCCTTTCAACATTTTCGGAACAGACTTTTAAACCACTATTTTTAAAATTCTTTCTGTACCAAAAACAGATCTATTTAACTGTAAATTACTGATATTATTTCTGTACTAATTATAAATCATTTTGCCAATAAAATTTCTTGAATGTTTTCCTGTTTCTTAAAATGCAATATCATTCATTTAAACAGCACTTATTCTTTATACAAATTACCAACACACCACCCAACAGGGAAATTATCCTGCCAACACCACTAAACCCTACAGCGTTAACTTCTCTTTAAGATTCTTAAGTGCCTCTATGTTTAACAAACTATACCAGAATTTATCTATCATTCTGCCCATACTTTCATTTATTTTTTTATCTTCAGATAAAATTATTTTCAAATTTTCATACAATTGTCTTTTGTAGTATTTTCCTTTGTTTTTTCTGTTTTCACTGTATTTTGATTTATTTCACATCCATATGTATTGCAATGAGTCACTACTGCCAAATTAGATTATATTTTATTGCTCTTATGTGTTCAGTTAATCCTTTTCTTAACTTTTTTTTGTTTCTCCATTGTATCTATTTTTCTAAACAATTACATTGGAAAGAGTATATGATATTCATTTTATCAAATGTACCAGTTAGTATTTCTTCTTTATTCAACCTTAGTAATTTGTTAAGTCTATTTGTTTGTTCTGGAATTAATGTAATGCCTTCATTTTTAACAATTGTCTTTTTATCATTTTGTATATTTCAGGAATGTAAGGTAACTTAATAAATTTTATTGTTATTACTCTCAACTTCTGATTTATTTCTTGTATTTTCATTTAACCATTACTTAATAATGAGTATGGATATTGATTTAACATTAATATATCTATTACTAATTTGATCTCTTCGTCTTCTTTTTCTGTTTTTAACTTTTTCGATATACATTTTAAAAACATTTCTTTTCACTGAAATTGGAACAGATGAATAATAGTTTATTACTTTTGGTATAGTAATCCAAAAAATCTTTAAAAATAGTGGTTTAAAAGTCTGTTTTGAAAATGTCAAAAGGAATATATGGATATGTTAAAATATAAACTTGTAAATATATATATTAAAAGTTTTGTATAAATTAATGTACATATATTTTTTAAAATTTTAACAAGCAATTATTTATTCTGACATTGTCACAATGCCAGGCTGCAATTTTTAATTTATTTAATTTAAAATATATGTTCTCCACCTCAAATTAATACTGTAGTGTCTTGCCCATGTACATTTTATCTCTTACTTTTCTGTTAGCATGGAGTTGTGCTGGTTATTTTTCCTTTCAGAGAAAAATTTTCAAATTGAAATAATGTGACTTCCAGTTTGCATTGGAAGTTCATATATAGTTAATAAGGACCTCCTGCCTCTAAGGTTTCCATATCTGGCCTCGTATTTCATATATCTAACTCTGTTCTCGAGATTAAGGAAAGACGAATGGACATGACAGTGGAAATTTATAGGTCTATAATTTTTTCAAATTATAGCTTAATTAGAAAATGCAGTGTTTGCTGAGGAGGTGCTTTGGCTTAAAATGCTAAAACTTGGCATACAGGATCATTTACAGTAAAGGTGTTTGGGCTGCAATTTGAAAAAATTGTTTACTACAAATTCCCATTGTCATTTGTGTGTCTGTCTGTCTTTCCTTAATCTCGAGAATGGAGTTAATAAGATGAAATCCAAGACCAGATATGGAAAGCTTAGGAACAGAAGACCCCCGATTAACTGTATATGAACTTCTGATGCAAACCAGAAGTCACATTATTTTAATTTAAAAATTTTCCCCTGAAAGGAGTTATATAAATGACAGCATGATTGTTACTAATAGGAAAGGTATGGTATCCAGGCACAAGATACTACTGATTTGAGATTGCAATCATATATTTTAAATCTTTAAATAAATTTAAAAAATACGATTAAAAATTGCAGCCCGGTATTGCCACAATAAATAATTGCTCCTTCAATTTGAAATTGTGTGATTCGCTTTCCTTGGTGTAACAAGTCCTAGTTCACAAGATAGTTTAAAGTGGACAAAGGCATAATAATAAAATATAAATATAAATAATTTTGATATTAATTTATAATTTATTTTATTTGTCATCTGTCTAAAAATGCTTAGTAATTGTAATTTTTCAATAAAACAATTCATCATCTAAATTTTTCTGAAATGTTAAACTTTATTGCTTTTTGTTATATATTTGAAGTTGTCTCAAATAATTGTTATTTAAATTTTCAAAATTACACTTTTATACTGTATTTGAAAATTTTGATTTAAAGTTTTGAAATTTGATTTGTTACAACTTTAGATACTTAGGAATTACTGTATATAAATTATTTATATGATTTATCTATAAATTTATATGTATGAATTTCAAGTACTATGTCTAAAAATCCGTCCTATTAAAATAAAGCTTAAACAACCTTGTTGTTTTTTTAATCTCAAAATGTGAGAAATTATTCTTTTAGCTAATATATTGTCACAGAAATCCTAATCTGTAGTAATATAATTTAGTAACAGCTAAACATACTGTATATAAAACAATATGATTGAATGTATTAAATGCATTAAAATTTTGACAAATTTTTATTTTGACTTTGACTAATAGCAATGATTAAGCAGTTTTGAGACTTTTGTTTATTTATCTATTATTACTGTTTTTTCAATTATATTAGTTGAAAATTATTATAAATTACATTATTTTTCTATACATTAGCCACTAAATTTTTAATGAAATATAATCTGCTTCTTATAATAACAGATATTACCATTAGTTGTCTAACATTACCAGAATTAATTAGCTTGTCAAAAACATGAAAGTTAAAATACAATTATAAAACTGTTTATTGTAATATATTTTAGTTAGTATTTTGTTATCTTCAGATAAACAGATATTTTTAAGCTGTCTTTTTGAACTGTCAGGCTCAACTTGGGACTAATAATGTTTAATTATCATTACTTATCAGTTATTGTCTGTTTTAATCAGTGCTTTAAATTTTTTGCTATTTTAATCATTATTTGCTCATAGTACAATAATTTAAGTTGCTTACATTTCTTACATGGATTACATACAAACAGCTGTTAAAGGTAGCATGCAAAAAAATAACTGGCTCTTTATATTTAATTTAGTAAATGTAAGTAATGGTCTTATTCTTAAGAAGTTATTACAACACTCACTCTAACCATTTTCAAAATAGTTTTAATTTGATTTTTCAGAAATTATTATGAAGGTGAAATATGAAATTGTTCTGAAAACGTTAAAATTAATGTTATAATTGCTTCTTAATAACAGGATTGTTATTTACTCATATTTATTAAATCGTATTATTTTATTTATAAAAATGAAGATAAATTAGCATTTACTTTATGTTTTGTAGGAAAATGGAAATATATTATGGACATACAATTGTCAAAAACCAGTTTTTTCTTCTCCACTGAATTTGAAATGTGGATTATGTATAGGCTCTGTAAATGGAGATATCCTTTTTTTGAATCATCATGGCAACATTGTAAGTAAAATTTTTAGAATTTAAACTAAATGTATAGAACTATTTGTGTTTATGTTAAAAATATGTTCATTCTATTTTCTACAATTGTAGTTGAAAAATTTATAATGTTTTTATGCAAGCTTTATGAATTTCTATGTTCTTAAACTTTAAAATTTTGTATTATTCTATATAATCTTAAAAAATTTTTATTCTTTGTTTTGAGTTTATAAAATATGCATTATGTTTTACTTTTATAACTACTTAAAGAGGGATTTTGGAGAGACAAAATGAAATGTTATGTCCTTCAAATCCAACATTTACCTGAGTTCAAGAATTACTCAGAAGATGATTTTATACCCTTATATTTTATTTAATTGCAATTTTTTTCTTATACATTCCTTATATAATGTTCTATTTGTGGTTAGGTTTGCCTGATTATGATCTTTTAAAATGACTGAAAACATTAGTACAGTGGGTACCTCAGGATATGAAATTAATCCGTTCCGAAACTGAGATTGTATCATGAAAATGTCGTAAGGTGAATCATTTTTTCCCATACGATTACATGTAAAACCAAATAATTCGTTCCAACACGAAAAACACATTCAAATTAAAGCTAAGTAGTACATTGAAAAAAAATAACTGTAGTAAGGAAATCACTGAAAAATGCATTTTGTAGTTGTAAATGTATAAATAACCATAATAGAATAATAATTGATTAAAAAAATGTAGTTTTATTTGCACTTTACCTTTGAGGATAGACGACGGTGGAGGTGTAAACTGGTGGAGGAAGAAAGGGAGAAGGGAAATGATACTAAAACTTAACTTACATAACATAATGTAACAATAACTTAAAAATAACTTAGAAAAGATAAAAAAAATTAGTGTTGTTTTATATATATTTTTTAAAATTTTTATTCATTGCTTTTTGCTTTCTTTCCTTCACTTCCACCAGAACTTTCACTGGATAGAGATCGCTTGGTAAAATATCTATCCAATGAGGTTTGGCTTTGCCTACTTTTTAAAATGTTTCTAAAATGACTTAGGCAAATGTCATCACTCTGAGCAGCAATACGGCCACCGTGAACCTTTTTGGGATGTTTCTTTTCAATAAAATCAGTCACTTTCTGATAATACTTCAAGATTTCTTTTATCAAGCGAGATCCTTCCATGATAAAGCAAACACGTGGACTGAGATCGATGAACAGAAATGAATAAAACATGGTGCTACGAACTAATGTAATGTCGTATGGTGAGTTTTTGTTCGTATCGTGGAGCAAAAATATGTTCGAATTTCATGTCATATCCTGAAAATTTCGTATGATGGGGCATTCGTATCCCGAGGTACCACTGTACAGGTAATCCCCGTATAATACGGGAGTTATGTTCCAAAAAATTGCCGTGTTATACGAAACAAAGAACTAGTGCAAAAGGGGAAGGTTAGGTTCCAAAAATGAAAAAACATGCTGTTAAATCCTTATTTAAATCGGATTTATTATTCATTTTTTCATAGATAAAATACTTATTTATTATTTAATTAAATATTTTACCAGATGATTATTCATCCTATATGATGATCTCAGCATGACTGGTAACTGTTTTTGGGTGTGTTCATTAATAGCGGTTGCTCTGCAACGGGAGTGCGCTGCTGTTTGTAGGCATTTAGGAACGACGGCTGCGCCTGCACTATCGATAGTATCGTGATGGAGGAATCTATAATTCTAAAATGAGCTTTTAGAGGCAAAAGAAGGGTCCCAATTGTAAAATCTGTATCTGCATTGTATGCAATGTTCAGATCATAACATAACTCATTGAATTTGGTAAAAAAAAAACAAAAACATTTGATAATCTGGTTCTACTCTGGTCTTGTTCTAGATTAACAAACTTCTGTTATATGTAGTCAATCTATACTAATATTATAAAGAGGTAATGTTTGTATGTATGTACTAGCAGACCCCGCCACACGTTGTTGTGGCTCAAAATGTATCTATTATAAATGTATAACACTTCCCCCGTGGGGGGGAAATTTTTCGAAAAATTTCTTCTTAGTGTACATTCTCTTGACGTACCCTATTAAAATGCAATCAAAAACGCAAAAAAACCACATCTAAAATAATATAAATAGAAGCCAAGTTTTTCACAGTAAGCCTTAATTCTGTCCCTCTCCCTTCAGTGGGGGGAATTTCGACACATATATTATATAAAAAGACGTGCGTATTCAAATGCAGCGTTGTGTGAAAATTTCAAAGGAGTCGGTAGGAACAAATGAACATTACATTTTTATTTATATAGATAGATAGAAGATGATCTGCTTTAGTTCATTTTCACAGAAAAGCAAACTTAGGGTGTCGTACTTGTAGCGCCATCTGTTGGACATAAAAGCCTTAACCTAGATTATATTTTTTAATTTACAGTATATGAATGTTTATCGGAATAATATACAGCCTATGGCCACCCTGAGGTTCCATTCTAAATATTGGTGAAAGAATTTTTGAAATCGGATGAGTAGTTTCGGAGATTACCTGCTGCAAAGAAACTTACATACATACA